AAATACATAATCATCATCCAAACAAATCTCATCTTTATTGTTGTAAGGATACATAATTCCTTCACTGTTTGGTGCTCTTCACCAAATCTCTTAACGAGATTCAGATAACTTCTGAAAACTTTCTTTTGTTTTTCCTTGGGAATAACTATTCCATCTGTAAAACTTTTTACCCAAGGTTTATCAAATTCATTCGTTACGTCATGTCCACTAGCTAATTGAATGTAGTCTTCTACCTTAATCTTATAGTTAGAGTAACCCTTAAACGTTTTCTTTTCTTTTAAAATACCATCGGAAGTTAGAATGATATTGTATTTTTACTTTTGGCGATAAATATAAACCAAATATGATTCCACCATCACCGTAATCATTCTTCCCTTTGCTATATTCGTTTTCAGACACCAACCAAGCTTCATTTAATTTATCCCAATTACTAGACGAAATGTATAAACTATCAGTATCTGTATAGTATATTTCCGGCTTATAAAATCCATCTATTACGTGAATGAAATTGTTCATTATTTCTTTACTGTGAGATAATATAAATGCACCGAAATGAGTGGGTGTTAATCTAGTAAAATCCTTTGGAGGAACAAACTCTTTTACTTCGTCATTAATCTGAACGATATATTGGGTCTCATTTACTTTTTCATAGCTTTTGACGTGCGAATCGAAGTTGGCTTTAAAAGTCGCTTCACTCCATAGATGTCTCGATGTATTTTTATTCTTCTGAATAGATTCACCGTATAAGGAATTACCTAATAATTCCATGCAATTACTAGCAACCATATCTCCTTGTATTTGTATTTATTCCTTAATTCCTTCAAAATTAAAATATAATCTCTGTATGGTGGAGTTTTAAAATTTTCTTCGTAAACTATACCATCTAATATTCTAATAATTTTACCACCGGATTTCACTTTTTCTTGAATATCAACTGATGTTAAACGTCGTGACAGAAACCATTTCTGAACCTGATTTTACTCCCAGTTTCCTTCTGACCTATTCTATTCGTAAAAGTTATTTTATCTTTAGCTGGTATGGGTTGAAAGAACATGTTGGTAGGATATTCAAAGCAAACTTTTAAAAAAGCAGTTCTAGGTCTGAATTTTTGTTTATTGAAGAGTTTTACAAATTCTTTTTCTTCTTCTGGTAGAAACGCTCTTGCACTTTCCGCTTTAGGATATTCACCTTCTGTCATGGCGGAAGCGTACAACCCATTAGCGTCAAATGCCATCAGTTTAGAATAGTCCAGTTCTTTGAGTTTATCGTGAACTTCCGTTTTATCGTTTGGGTTAACACTGTATTCTTTGAATAAATCTATTATCCTTCAGTGTCACTTTCATTGTATTCTTTTAATATGGCGCAGATCTCATTCATTTTATCCGTTTCAAATGATTTTCGATTTGCCGAAACTCTTCCTCCTTTAATACTTTGTCTGATAAAATATCTCATAAAAGGATGAGTATGTGAGTAAACTTTTTCTATGTTTTGTTTTTCCGTATGTTTGGGAACCATTCTAGTAGTTTCATATCATTCTTCTTCAACCATTTCTTTATCGTAATGATATAAATAATACCAACCCTTTAAAGATAAAGAAGGAGCCGTTAGATTATTGGAAACGTTTTGGAAGACAGTTTTTTTCATGGCTTGATTGTATTTTGTCAAACAAGCTCCGAGACACAATGTATCTGTTTTAGCGTAAGTTTCCCATTTGGGTCTTAAAGATTCCCAGGTTTCTTTGGTGAATTTTGCAATATTAATATCGATGATCTTTCTCAAATTCATCGGTAGATTAGATGAATTGCCCGATGGCCGCCAAACTAGTGCTTTGATGTTTAAATGAACAAGTGAAAGATATATTTTGTAAATAGTTAGAGTTACTCATTATTTCTTTCTGTCTTTTCCATTTTTTCTGTAATCTTTCTTCTGTATATGGATTAGATAAAGGAAGAGAAAGAATTTTATTATCTACTACTAGTGGACATTGTGTTAGTTTTTTAACGTTTTGAAGTGCAATCCAGTTGTCAAAACCGCTACCGTTATGGGAAATTAAGGTTAGTCTTTTCTGATCTACTTTTCCTAAACGTTGTTACATTTGATCTATACAATCTGTACCTACAAATATTTCTACTATATTAGTCATGAGTATGTTGTAATATTCTTCTGAAATGGGATCTGACGGCTTAAAATCTAGAGTCTCACTTAAATCACTTAAGTAATTATTATAATCATCTAATCTTTTCCTCAGTTTTTCTAATTAACTAAAGTACAACAATAAGGAATGGATTTATTCGTTTCTTTTTCGCAATAGGTTTCGCAATCCCAAGCGTATAAACAGTTATCGGATATGTTCGAAAAAACGTTTAGTTTTAACTGTGCGAAACACATTACAGCGTCATCATCTTTACAAGTTCTCCATACATTTTCATCGTAATTGTCTTCTATTTCTTTAATGCCCAAAGCTTTGTTATTTCTTCTTATCAAACAGAAATGTTCTTTGTGTAAATAAAATACCCAATCAAATTCCTCTAATACTTTCTTTGGTTGAAAATGACTGTCTTTAGGGTTATAGATTTGAAAATTAGTATTGAATTTCTTATTGAATTTAGAAATTCTAGCAGTTGTCATAACTCCTTTTCTGTTTGATTTTTGAAAACTGTTGATGAAATCTTGAAATTCCTTTGTTAAATCCGTGTTCGTGATGTAATTTACACACTTTATAAAACAATAACAATCGGTTGGTATGTAACAATTTTTTCCTATGTATTCATTTATCTTTTAAGTAGGTTAACCCCACTTCCCTTTTTTGATCTTTCTACTATTCTTAAATTATTTTTGCGCAAAATAATCTCTCCTGTAAAATACCAATCAGATGTATCAGAGGTTTCATGCATCTTTGAATAAATAATCTGGAAAGTTTGAGCATTGAATCCAGTTAATTTCATGTCTTGTTTGTGTTTTCCTTTTTGATTTATTTGACCATTTATTTCAATTTGGCCTTTAATTTTATAATACTTAAATAGAATAGTTATTCTCTTGATTAATTCTGAAAAAAGCATAATTGAGGTTGATATTTTAATTTCATTCTCCTCTTTTTCAAAAACTTCAGCTACATCATCAATTATATATTCAAATTCTTCTTTGTCTTTTTCACTAAATTTGGTTGAAAATATATTAGGTATTGAATTGAATATCAATGAAAAATATGTTTTAGATAATGGTTCGTTTAAATTTCCAATTTTATCCATTCTTTTTTAAGTATCTATTTTTAACTAGGAATTTTTCTTTACCTGTTCTTCTCTCGAAAAAAAATGAATAATTTATTAAAATTTCCTTTTATAATGAGCTTTGATGTAAAAACCTAAATTGATCAATCCACAAGAACACCACTACCCTTTTTTATTTCTTGGAAATTGTTTTTACGGAAAATCATTTTTCCTGTGAAATACCAATCGGAGGCCATTCGATTTATTATCCAGCGCAATGAAGAAATTGACAAAAGTCATGGTATCAAAACCTACAAATTTTATGTCTTGTATGTATTTTCCATCCTGAGTTATCTTTCCACCTAATTCAATTTGTCCGTTAAATGATAAAAATTCGTCAGCGATATGCTTAATAACATTGGAAAAAAGTTCACTTGATATAAATTTATCAATTTTATTCATATTTTTAAAGCAACTATTTTTAACTAGGAATTTTTAACTTTTATTGATGATATTTCTACATCAAATTTATCTAAAATTTCATTGAATTCTTCTAATTCTTCAATGGTTATGTTCTTATCTTCTCTCAATCATTCGAAAAATATAAACAATTTATTAAGATATGTATTTAAAATTTCTGTTTTCCTTTTATAATGAGCTTTCTGTTTTGATGTAAAACCTAAAGTTATCAAACCATAAGATGAAGTTTGAACGGCAGTGAACGCGGCTAATACAGTTGGGACGATGATCGGAAGCATTAATCCACCGGTTACGGCTGTTGCCACCGTTATCCCTATTGTTAAAACTGTACTTAATGTTTTGAAAACGGAATCGATTCTACTCCATGTTTTTCTACATTTGTTGAATTGTTTTAGTTTTTCTTTTAGTTCGTTTTGTTTTTCTATCATGTAGTTTTGTCTACTTTCGAGTTCCATTTTTAGGTAATTAAATTAAGTGAACTTCTGATAAAGCAAAAGATGGAAAGTGATAAAGATTACCAATAGGTTTCTCAGGCAGTATTTTTTATTATCTGTTATAATTATTTCAGGTAAAATAATAAAAACTTGTACAGCTACTAAGGATATTTGTTCTTTTGAATCATTAATCTTATTTTGATGAATTGAAAGTTTTGGTTTTTCGATATTGATTTTTATCGAACATCTACAGGTATATATACCTCCAACTTCTGTTGTATCATTACGTTCAATTATTGATGAAAATATTAAAAAAATTTTATCTTGTTGACTTTTATGAATATCGATTGAGGTAAATAAATCAATTGTAGAGGAAAGCTCGAGTGAAAAACTATTATTAGCAAAATATAGTTTTACGTATTCAAAGTCTGTCGTTCGTAAAAACTGCTTATATCTTGTGTTTGTGGTATTGGGTTTCTAATGATATTCATTGATGGAGGACTTTCCCTTTCAAATATCATTTGAAATTCACTAAATGAAAGATGATTATCTTTTTTATCTGGAATGACCAACATTCTAAACCTATCTATATATTTTCCACTCGTTTTAATTTCATATAAGTGATCACTCTTGCTGTTTTCATCGTTAATTTCTAATTCTTTAGTTCTACATTTTCTGTACCATTGATAAACTGAAGAACTTTGCGAGCGTTAAATTGAGAATTAGATGAAAATCTTGGGTTTTGTCTGAAGAATATTGAATCAACTTTTACCTGAAAAGGGAAAGTTATTTCAATTAAAAGTTTTGCTCGGAAAATAAAAGCAGAAAAATCATCTCTAAACATTCTATAGGGATAATTAACTTCCCTATGTTTATATATTTATTGTGATTCCATATTTTTTTCACACTCTTTTGTTCTTTCATCATAATCAGTAATAGAAGCATCGTTTTGTGTCAAACTTCCAAATGGAAGAGTAAAATAATATGATTTATTTTCTTGTTTGAAATGCTTTTCTAATGCGGTTATATTTTTCTCCTGTTTCAAAACTAGGTTATTAATAGTGGTTATCTGTTGTTGAATAACACTATCATCAATGTTCTGTATTTGTTGATGAATATAGGTTTTGATTTCGCTATCATCTATATTTTGTATTTGTTGTTGAATATAGGTTTTGATTTCGCTATCATCTATGTTTTGTATCTGTTGTTTAATATTTCTTAGTTCTTTTTGTAATTCACTGTTAAGTTTAGTTTCCAGAGCATTTAATTCCTGTTGAAACGTATCTTCATCTGGAATGTTATCTATCAATTGTTGAATGTCTAATTTTTGTTTTGCAATCTTATCCTCTAATTTAGATATTAATGAAATTAACTCAGTTTTATTCGTTACGTTGACTAATTGTTCTTCAATAAAACTTTTTAAACTTGTTACTTCTTGTTGTAATTTAGTATCATCAATAAAATCTTTATTATTCATTTGTCGTTTGAAAAATATTTTCACATCATTTATTCTTTCTTTTAAATGGTCTTTATTTACTTCAATTAAATTTAATTGTTCCATTAAATATTTCTTGTGAATGGCATCATTATCGTTTTCTGGAGACTTTAAATTAGTTATGCTAAAATTGTTCATATCTAAATCACCTTGAGGAGTGTCTCCGATTTGATCCACAAAGTAAGGTTTTGCTTTATTTATCCACGCTGTAGTGTTAGGTTTTTTACTTTCTAAAGATAAAGAACCTAATCCAAACTTATTCGCCATTTTTATTGAGTTGAATTTATTACAATTTCTTCAAACTGTTTTCCTAAACTCAACTGATATAAAACCCAAAGTGAAAGCTGACCACAAAACTTTTGTCCCGGTAATTGAATTTGAAATGTCGAACATTTGATTGGTTTATTAGTCAATTGGATTATGTCTTCAGTGGGTTCTAATCCATAAGAATCAAAGAAATAAAAGTCAGTCTTTGTACAAAGCAGAATGATGAACTCCTATTTGATCGGAAGTATGTATATTTGTTATAGCGTAAAATTTACCTTTCTTATATTTGAGATTATTTATTTTATCTCTCATACAATAATAAAACGGTGATATATTTAACTCTTTCGCCCATCTCATAAGTTGAAAGTTTGTGGTTGTATCGGTTCCATATTTATCGAGAAATTCATTAATTTTTAAAAGTCGGTTTTTTGAAGTTCGTTTTGATAAAACCTACCTATGATTTGTTCTTTGTCTTGATCGATTAATTCATATGTCGGGGGTGATGTGCTGTTTACTTTATCAACGATGAATATTTCGTTTGTCCAGTATCCAACGTAACCTTTTTCGAATTTACTTTTATATTTGAAAATACGAACTCGATCTACGACTTTAAATTTGGGTTTGGTATTTAAATTCTTTATTTCATTTTCGTAGTTATGTTGCGCGTTAATTGACTTTATAATATTTGGATTACTCGAGGCATGTGTTGGTGTGACACCTATAGATGAATGAATTTTGTTATTGTATTCATCTACAACATCTGGTCATATTTTAAGCCATTTTTGAGATTTCAATTCCGTGAACTTTTTGAATAATTTATTTTTTAGAGTCCTGTTAAATCTTTCTATTACTACAGCTTTACCTTCGTTATGCGTACTGTAAATTTCAAATCCCAGAGATTTCATATTTTTGTTATAAAATTCACTTCCTTTATCTACCCATAGTTTTTCTGGATGACGGTTAGATTGTTTCATAATCGTTTCAAATGCGTGTTTGACTGATAATCCCGTTTTGTTTTTCAAAGGAATAACCCATACATATCTCGTATATAAATCTATAACTGTTAAGCAATATTTAAATCCTCTTTCGACTGGCATATGAATTAAATCGGCTGACCATATTTCATCTTTTTCAAACACTTTGACTTTTAAAAAGTTTTTAGTTTTTCTAAATTCTTTATGAGTTTCATCCGCCAATCCCATACCTAATTTCATCTTTGCTTTTAACAGTTTAATGATTAATGCTCTTTCCATTCTCTCTTTGAAAGTTGGATTTGGAATATTTTCAAGTTCTATTATCATTTGTTTGTCTGCTTCGTGTCTGAAGTTTATGTCTTTGTTTCTGTATAAAATATCATGTTTAAGCGCAGCGGCGTCAACTCTATTGACTGGTTCTTCGCCTGGTTTGGGTTTATCGTTTTCGTCTAATCGTAGATCTAACCTAGTGCCTGGACCAGTGTAATTGTGCCCTGGGAGATGTTTTTCTCCGGGATATTTCGCCCATGGAAATCCAGGAAGAGAACCCAATGATTTTTGTATATCTCCTGAACCGAAATAAGTTTTTGGAGCGTGAGCGACAATCATTTTTTATCCTATAACTTTAAAACCCTTTCCTTTCCTTTCTTCTAATCTCCTGTTTCGAAGTTCTCTTATTAGCTCTAATTCTTTCAACTCGTTAGATTGTTTCACTGTGTCGCTTATACTCTTTCCCGCTTCAGCGATTGAGCCGACGGCTTTCGCTCCAGTTGAAAGGAGTGATTTGTTTTTTGAAACAAAGCTAGCTACTTTTGGAATTATTGTTTTACCTAGAGAAATTAAACTCATCCTATTTTTAAATGAGTTAATTTAGTCTGTTTTTTATCCAAAAAGAAGTTTCTAGACTAAAAATAACGTTACTTAAAACGAGGCTATTAAAAATGTTATGTTATTTTGTATAAGGGTATTTTTAATATGCTTTTTTTTGATGGAATGTAGGAAATTGATTGGAGGTGTTTTTGGTGTATGAAATGTAAGAATTTATGAAATGTAAGGTGTTTTGCTGTAAGAATTTATGAAATGTAGGGAATTTATGAAATGTAGGGAATTTAGGTCTTGTTCTTTTGGGAGTTCATAGATTGGTTGGATTTTTCCCATGAAATGAAATGGAATGTGGAAAAATCCGAACAATCTATGAATTCTTATACTACTCCGTCCGTCCACAATTACTCGTAAACACTCTATTGACTGATTTTGACGAAACTTGGTATGATGGTTTGTAATCACCCAAGGATGAACCCTAATAAAAATCAGAAAAATCGAAAAATATTTAGTGCTCGTAAACACTCTTTAAGGTGCATTTCTTGATGGATTTTGATGAAACATGGTGTGAGTGTTTGATATCACCGAAGGATGAACCCTATCGAAAATCTGCCAAATATTTTTTAATTAAAATCAAAGCTGCCAGTGGGCGTATATTATATTACCTTGCCTGGCAAGCTATGTTTTGTTTTGTGGTAATGCAGATATTTAATAATGGGAGTATATCGGGTATCTCAACCACTCTCCATTTTAAATGATGTTCTCTGCACGTTATATACAGTTTGACTTTGAAAGAGTGTGCTAATGCTGTTGTCCTAGAAAAAACCCCCTCATCACACACTGCACAGTCCAATCTGGAGCTGAAGAGTATGGAATTCTTTGAGTTGATTGCTTTCTAATTGTAGCTAAAGATGTAAATAATGAAGATGTGATGTTAGTAAATGACAAGCCTGATTGTAATTGTTGCTGTGGTGGTGTTTGCTGTAGATGACATTAATATAAATTGAGTTATAATAAATATTTAACTATGCTAATTATGCTTAATCAATTATAAGTTTTCTGTTTGTCTGCCCGAACTAGTTGGCCTTTTTTTACAATGATCTATGTGTTGAAACATTCAGGGTTGTTGTTTTTTTTTTCTCGATAATGGAACTGAATTCCAGCTATTAGCATCTCTATTTAAATCGCAAACTCTGAGGTGCTTCTTGTCTGTAATTATAGATAACTTTACCAGCGGAAACAGCGATCGACAGGCTAGTTTCAGGCCATATTTAGAGGTCTCTCGTTCAGAAGACAGAATTACATTATCATTGTCAGGATATCATTATTAATAAGAGTCTAGAGTTTGTAGAATGTCCAATAGTTTGCAATTGATAATCAGGGGTTATATTCTGTATAGTCTTTTGCATTTTCTTCATTCCGAAACTGCAAGCCTCTCTCATCTCACACGACATCCCTTGGTTCGAAAGAACATCACAACTAAGTGGATATCATAGACACGGCAGACCTATTAATTATCGATATGCAAATAGTCTTACTTCGATTTCACATCAATAACCAGATGTGGTAAGTAACAGATGCATGTCTTGTGTAAACGGCAACTTGAATCACCAAAAAAGGAAAAAAGCCACCCCATCTTTCGGTAAGTAAACCATCATTATCGTATGAATTTCACTTGTAGACTACACAATTCGCAATGTTGTATCGAAAACTTATTTGCATAATGCCAAGGTGGATACAGATACTAAACGGATTAATTGTTGAAGAGAAGTCTTTTCATCACGAAAAACACCGAATTTACTTCATATCCTACCTTCGACTTTTTTGGAATTTTGGGATTGCTTGGTTGTCAATCACTGCTACGTCAAGAAATACGTTTAAGTACTAATATGTACAGTTCGATAATATATCGAGAAATGTAACTAAAATTAGATTTCCTTTCTTTTATTTCCGATATTTTACGTCATCATTGTTATCTAACGTTCTTTTCAAGGCATGTCACGTAGAACCCGTTTCTTGATAACAAAACCCAAAAGAAACCAAAAGAGGCTGCCATATTGTCTACCTTTGCTATCCCACTTTATCTCGAAACGGGTTCTACAAGACACGGTTAGAAGGGCTAAATGAAAGACTTTAATGAAAGATCGACAATTTGTAATTGTAGAAAGGTAGGCCTAATATTCTCAAATAGGAGCCAACATGAAGGACGCACTCCCCATTAAAAGTCATTATTTTTTTTATCTTCACAGACATGTTGAGCAGTAAGTTGTATTTTAACCTATGTTTGTTTTTGTTCATCTATAAAACCAGTACTCAGGTTGTAGTAAAAGAGACCAACAACGTTACAAAGCAGCCAGAAATCAAAGATGGAATCACCGAAAAGAAATCGATTTTATATCGCGAAACAGGTAAGGTAATAGAAAAACTCTCATTCGAAGAGACTCATTTAAGCATACAACGAATTTAATGAAACTGAAAGTTCCAGACATGAGTAAACAAACGATCATGATATGTTAAACCCTTTTCCTTCTTTACCATTAGTATGTCGTTACGATGTTTACATTCTGTATATTCTGATTATGTGCTGCACTCGATACTGGTTACGCTTTACATACATTTTTTCAGATCAAATTCCAACTAGTCAAGTTATTTTTACACCAACGACTAAGGCAAAACCACCCATCATTACAGATCTCCCTGCTAATTCTAATAATTCATCAATTTAGCTCTTCAATATCTGTATTTAGTATTAAAAATAGATTTGAACTTTGATCTAAAAGAAAAATCTCTAAAAAGCGAGATCCAGTGATCACAAGAGCGCTTTACTAATGTGTATTTATCAAACTTTCAGAAGGCATTGCTGCATAACTTAAAAAAAACTTTAAGTACGATATGAAACGACTATTATAAAACCAACTCGGTCAAGAATTGCTCTGTTAAAATCTCATCGAATTCACCCAGTTTTTTTTTTGTATGAACAATATACTGAAGATTGTATTCATACATGAGCACTGCAAGGAAAATAAATGCAATTGCGATATTGCAATTTCAATAAAACCAAATGTTTGATGGCGCCACTAATCACGGAGGGCCTTATGTAAAACATAGTCATTAGTGAAGCCGTCGACCACTTAGTTTTAGTGGAGAACCACAGATGTCTGATTGAAATTTTAAATAGTGGAAACTGATGCTATCAGTGATATGTAATAAGAAATATATGAAATGAGTTGGAAGATTTAATATTACCCGGGACCTGGCGGGGTAATATCTAATCCGGAAACGAATTTCCTAACTTTCATATTACATAACCACGAGTGAAAGATTCTATTTATCACACAACTATCAATAAAGGCATATTTTCTTTTTTGAGTTTTTGGTTAAGGCTGGCATGAAATCTTTTACTGTTTGGGAGTAAAGTCTTGGAGTGACTGCTCGTGTAACATCTGTCCATGAAAGTGACAGTGTCAAAATCTTAAATATTGCGTCAGTCCACCCATGAATTGTGATATTGATACAGAGGCTGATGAGGTTCACTTTAACGACAAAGTCTCAATAAAACGTTAAATCTGAAAGGATGGTGTCAAATAAATAGACCATACAAAATCGATAAGGTTGCCAACATATGTTTTGGTCTACGTACATCAAGTCAACAACAATACTAAGGAATCAAAGAAAATCGAATCCAATAGAAAAATACTGAAGGTTTGAGGTCAGGTGGGTGTGAAGTGCGATTTAAATCTGTCATTGCCTCAATATAAAATCAATGATTCTATCACCTATGGTCAAAAGATCAACAATATAATAAGAAGGACACCATACCGTCAAGAATTAGGAACGTACTCCTTTGAAAGGTAAGAAAATATCAGCTCTAGCATAATGATAGGTCGTTCAGCAGTACCATCAGTTCATAAGGAAAACAAAATGATTGTGTATGGCATCAGTTTGACTAGTCTGCGATATCAGCATCTGCAGGAAGAGGATGTTAACTTGTCATCTACAAATCAACCAAACAGCAGTTTGACACTTATGGGTCAGGTTCACCATTCGTTTGACCAATCGTACCATAGTCTCTATTTGCTGCACTAATGAGTAACAATACTGTTCATCGTCGAAATTTGAGGATACAAATCCACGTGTGTCAAGAATTTTCTGCGTTTGAAAGTTAAAATGACGACTTGACTTAAATTTGCATATAAAACGTATACAAGTATTTTAATTTCAGTTATTGAAAATGAATAAGATGCAGTATCTATTGCCTGTGATAATGATATTACTTGTAACCATTGCTGTGGTGTCTTCTTTCCCAATAGAACCAGGTAAGGGCATTGGACATAATCTACGCAACAAGATTGGGTTTGCAACGCGTCGTCCATTTCTTAATTTACGTGACTAAAATTTCTTATTTATCTTATACGGGTTATTTGATATATTTATTGAGAGATTACCGTTCCTTCGTGATGAAATAAGATCAAATCTATTTGGGTTAAGCGGATTGTACAAAAGTTTCCATTTGGGTTAAGATCACATACCGGGGCATACATCGGGTTTAATCAATTTTTGGTTGAGTTTATTTTACAAGTTGTGACAAAAAAATGCCAACAAACTTCAAACTCAATTTGTTTTGAATTATCTTAAGAGGATACAAATCTGGATGTTGTAGTCATCAACCTACTATCCTAGTTTGAAAGGTTAATAGTAGATTTGCACTATACCTTATAAGGATCTTACTGAAAGAATTCTACAATATTAAACAATGGAAATCATCCTTCAGATCTTTAATATCTTAA